TTTGCTCTTTTCAAAACTCCTTGCATGGTATAACGTTCAATTCACATGAGGCTGTAAATCAGCACCTTGTTCAGTTTTTCGCCGATAAAGACAGGTCCTTCTATGAACGAGGAATTATGAAGCTCACTGAAAGAAGGCAAAAGGTTATTGAACAAAACAGGCAATATATCATTGATTGATCTTTGTTCTTTATATAAATAAATGATCTTTGAAAACATAGACAAAATACATCTTGATTTTTCCAAAGACCCAATATGTAGGATCATTATGTCTTTATGGTGGATTGATCATGTTACCATTATGTAATGTCCCACTTTGCCTCACTAATTTTCTTTTCCCTGAAGTCTACTTTGTCAGATATCAACATAGCTATTCCTGGACTCCTTTTTTTTTATTAATGCTTGAATAGTATATCTTTTCCTATATGTATTAGTTTCCTAGGGCTGACATAACTTAATCACACAAATTGGGTGGCCTAAAACAACAGAAATTTATTCTGTTATTGGTATGGAGGCTAGAAGTCTGAAAGTAAGATGTTGTTAAGGCCATGCTCTCTATGGAGGCTCTAGGGGTGCAATCCTTACTTGCGTCTTCTAGATTCTGGTGTTTGATGACAATCCTTGGTGTTCCTTGGCTTGTGGATATGTCTTTCCAACCTCTGCCTCCACGTTGACATGGCTTTTCCCCCTGTGTGTCTGTATCCAAATTTCTTTCTTCTTCAAAGGACACTAGTTATTGGATAGGACACACCCTTATCCTATATGACCTCATATTAACTTGATTACATGTTACGAAGATACTATTTCAAAATAAGGTTACATTCACATGTTCTTGGAGTGAGGACTTCAACATATCATTTTAGACAACTCAGTTCAACCAGAACATCATCCTTTTACTTTCAACATATCAATGTCATTGAATATGAAGCAAGTTTCATGTAAATGGAATATAAAAGGGTTATGTTTATTTCATGTACTCTGATTATCTCTATGTTTTGATTGGTGTATTTAGACCATTTACATTTAAAACAATTATTGCTATGCTAGCACTTAAGTCTGCCATTTTATTACTTTTTTAGTTCCTCTGGTTCTCATTTATCTTTTCTTGGCTTTCCATGGGTTAACTGAAATTTATTTTGGATTCCACCTTGATTTATTTACATTATTTTTGAGCAAATCTCTTTGTATAGTTTTCATAGTGGTTGTTTGGGTATTAAAATGTACATAAGTGACTTATCAGTCTCTTCTGGTATCAACATTTTACCACTTTGAGTGAAGTGTGGAAACTTTATGTCCATTTAGGTCTCTTTACTTTCCCTGATTTTAAATATTATTGTCTTGTTTATGAGGTGGTGTTATAAATTTTATCTCATTATTAAACATGAGTTTTAAAAATCAAGAAGAAAGCCATAGTCTGTTGTATGTAACCATATTTCTGCTTTTCGTTGTTTCTTCTCTCCTGAAGCTGCAAGATTATTTCTTCTATTATTTTCTTTTTGTTAAAAATACTTCCTTTAGCCAGCTTTTAAGGGTAGGTCTGCTAACAACAAATTCTTTCAGTTTTCCTTTGTCTGAGAATGTCTTTATTTCCCCTTAAATCCTAAATGATCGTTTAGCCAGATATAAAAGTCATGATTGATAGCTCTTTTCTTTCAGTACTTGAAAAATGTTGAAGTGTTACTTACTTCTGCACTCCATGATTTCAGATGTGAAATTCACTGTCATTTGAAGGGAACTGAAAAAGAACAGCAAAATAAGCCCAAAGTGAATACAAGGAAGGAAATAATAAAGATCTGAGCTGAAATAAATGAAATAGAGATGCCCCCAAAAATACAAAAGATCAATGAAACCATGAGCTGGTTTTTTTGAAAAGATAAACAAAATTGACAAACTATAAACCAGCCTCATCAAGAAAAAAAGAGAGAGAACCCAAATAAATAAAATCAGAAATGAAAGATAAGAAGTGACAACAGACACCACAGAAATACAAAAAAAAAAATTTAAGAAAATACCATGAGCAACTATACACCAACAAATTAGACAATCTGGGAGAAATGGATAAATTCCTAGAAGCATACACTCTTCCAAGGCTGAATCAAGAAGAAACAGAAAATCTGAACAGACCAATTACTACCAATGAAATTGAATCAGTAATGAACAAGCTCCAAGCAAACAAAAGTCTTGGACCACATGGCTTCTGGTGAATTTCATCAAACATTCAAAAAAGAATTAACAGCTATTCTCCTCAAACTATTCCACAAAATAAGATGAAGGGAAGGCTCCCAGCTCATTTTATGATGCATACCCTGATCCCAAAACCAGACAAAGACATTACAAAAAGGAAAAAAGAAAAGAAAAGAAAAAAACCCAGCAACTATAGGCTGATATCCCTGATGAACATAGATGCAAAAATCCTCAATAAAATATTAGCAAACCGAATTCAGTGTCACATTAAAAAGATCGTACACCACGATCAAGTGGGATTCATTCCTGGTATGCAAGGTTGTTTCAATATCCACAAATCAATTAACATGATACACCATGTTAACAAAATGAAAAATAAAAATCATATGGTCATATCAATTGATGAAGGAAAAGCATTTAACAAAATCCAACATCCGTTTATGATAAAAACTCTCAGCAAAGCAGGAATAACAAGAACATATCTCAACATTATAAAGGCCATATAGGACAAACCAAAGCTAACATCATATTCAATGGAGAAAAGCTAAAAGCATTCCCTTTTAGGAACATGACAACAATGCCCACTTTCACGACTTTTATTCAACACAGTACTGGAAGTTCTAGCCACAGCATTCAGACAAGAAAAAAAAGAGGCACCTAAATTGGAAAGGAGGAAGTAAAATCATCATTATTTGCAGATAACATGATACTATATAGAGAGAACCCCAAAAACTCCACCAAAAAGCTATTAGAACTGATAAGTAAATTTTAGTAAAGTAGCAGGACACAAAAATAATATTCAGAAATCAGCTGCATTTGCATATACCCATATGAACTATCAGAAAGAGAAATTAAGAAAACAATCCCATTTATAATTGCATCAAAAAATAAAATACTTAGGAATAAATTTAACCAAGGAAGTAAAAGATCTGTACTCAGAAAATTATAAGACACTGAAGAGAGAAATTAAAGAAGATACAAATAAATGGAAACACATACCATGCTCATGGATACAAATAATTAATATAGTTAAAATGTCCATACTACCTAAAGCAATATACAAATTCAATACAATCCCTATCAAAATACCAATGACATTTTTCACAGAACTAGAACAAATAACCCTAAAATTTATGTGGAACCATAAAAGACCCCAAATAACCACAGCAATCCTGAGAAATAAGAACAAAGTGGGAGGTATTACACTACCTGATATCAAATCCTACTATAAGGCTACAGTAATCAAAACAGTATGGTACTGGCATAAAAACAGACACATAGATCAATGGAAAAGAATAGAGAGCCCAGAAATAAACCCATCCATATACGGTCATTTAATCTATGACCATGGAAGCAAGAATTTACATTGGGTAAAGGTAGTCTATTTAATAAATGGTGCTGGGAAAACTGGACAGATATATGCAAAACAATGAAACTGGACCACCTTTTTATGCCATATACAAGAATAAACTCAAAGTGGATTAAATACTTAAATACAAGACCCAAAACCATAAAAGTCCTAGAAGAAAACAAGAAGTAAACTTACAGACATTAGTAATATTTTTACTGATATATCCCCTTGGGCGAGGGAAGCAAAAGAAAACATAAACATATGGGACTACATGAAACTAAAATGTTTTTTCACAGCAAAGGAAACCATCAACAAAACAAAAAGACATACTACTGAATGGGAGAAGATATTTGCCAATGATACATCTGATAAGGGGTTAATATTCAAAATACATTAAAAAACTCATACATCTCAATACCAAAAAAAACCAAACAACCCAATTAAAAAATGGGAGAACATGTAGAGACATGTCTCTAAAGAGGACATACAGATGGCCAACAGACACATGAAAAGATGCTCAACATCACTAATCATTAGAGAAATGCAAATAACAACCACAATGAGATACTACCTCACTCCTGTCAGAATGGCTATCATCAATAAATCAACAAACAACAAGTGCTGGCGAGGATGCGGAGAAAAGGGAACCCTTGTGCACTCTTAGTGGGATTGCAAATTGGTGCAGCCATTATGGAAAACAGTATGGAGGTTCCTCAAAAAATTAAAAATAGAACTACCTTATGACCCAGGAATTCCACACTTGGATATTTATCCAATGAAATCCAAAACACTAATTCAAAAATATATATGCACCCCTATGCAGTGCTATTCACAATATCCAAGCTATGGAAACAACCAAAATGCCCATCAATAGATGACTGGATAAAGAAATAGTAGTACATTTATACAATGGAGTATTACTCTGCTATAAAAAAGAATGAACTCTTACCATTTGCAACAACATGGATGGACCTAGAGAATATTATGCTAAGTGAAATAAGTCAGACTGAGAGAGACAAATACCATATGATTTCACTTGTATGTGGAATCTAAAGAACAGAATAAATGAGCAAATGAAACAGAAATAGACTCAGAGATACAGAGAAGAAAACTATGGTTGCTAGATGGGGGTGGAGGGTGGGGGATGGGGGAGAAAGTGAAGGGATTAGAAAGCACAAATTGGTAGTAACAAAATAGTCATGGAGATGTGAAATACAGAATGGGGATTATAATCAATAATGTTGTATATAGATTATGTAGTGTGTCAGATGGGTACTGGAGTTATCAGGGGGATCACTTTATAGATTGTGTAGATGCCTGACCACTGCGCTATATACCTGAAGCTAAAGTAAAATAATATTGAATGTCAACTATAATTATACATAGTTGGGATATAAATTACAGCATAGGGAATATAGTCAATTGTACTGTAACAGATATATATGATGTCAGAGGGTAGTAGACTTGAGGCGTTATCACTTTGTGAGGGGTGTAAATGTCTATTCATTATGTTGCTTTGTACATCTGAAACTAATATAATAAAAGAGGTTTTAAAAATTCACTGTCATTTGAATTGGTATTCCTCTTTAGGCAATGTATTCTTTCTCTTTGGCTTCTATTAAGGTTTTTTTCCTTTGTCTTTAGTTTTCAGAAATTTTATCACAATAATGTCTTGGCATGGAGTTCTTTAGGCTTTTCCTGTTTTAGTTCCACTCACCTATTGAATGTGTAGATTTGTACCTTTTAAATATGGGAAGTGTTCAGCCATTATTTCTTCAAATACTCTTTGTGTCCCATTTTTTCTTCACTCTTTCTGGCATGCTAATCATAGTACTGTTCGATTTTTGTTATTGTACCTCAGGTCTCTGAGGCTCTGTTTATGTTTTCTTCCCTCTATTTTCTCTCTGTTGTTCATATTAGGTAAAGTCTATTGATTTGTCCTCAAATTCACTGATTCTATTCTTTGCCACTTCCATTCTACTACTGAGCCCATACAGCTTAGTATTTAAAAATATTTTGTTATTGGATTTGCCAGTTCTGTAATTTCCATTTTTAATAACTTCTATTTCTTTGCTGAGATTCTCTGTTTTTCATTAGTCTCAAGAGAATTTAAAGTTGATTATTGAAGCATGTTTTAGTGGCTACTTTAAAAGCCTTGCAAGATAATTCCAACAATTCAAAATCTCAGTGGTGGTATAGGTTGATTACCTTTTCTCATACAAGTTGTGATTTTCTTCGCTTTTGGCATGACAAGTAATTTTGTATTACATCCTGAAATTTTGTCCATTAGGCTAATAGACTCTGGGTCCTATTTAAATCTTTTATTTTATTTTATTTATTTATTTTTTTAAAAGATTTTTATTGGGGAATTGGGGGAGGGGAACAGCGCTGGGGAATTGGGGGAAGGGGAAGAGACAAGTTGCTGTCGTTTTGTTCTTCAGGCTAGTTGTGGAGGACGTTGCTTCACTGGCCCAAGTTGGCACCATCATTGTGCTCTTCCCAGGCGAGGCAGATCAGTCGCCGGCTTCTGAACGGCCGCTCACTGCGGCTGCTGGCCGCTCATGCTGGCTGCTGGCCACTCACGGTAGCCCATGGCAACACACTGCAGCAGGGGTTGCAGCCTAAGCCGTCCCCTGTGACTCACGGCAGCCCAGCTCCAGGTTGAGCTGTTGTTCAGCATCTTAGCTGTAGAAGGCAGTGTCACTGGCTCTCATATGTGGGATCCGAACCGGGGCACTCTGGCATCTCAAGCCAGCTCTTAATCAATGTGCCACTCGGCTGGCCCTAAATCTTTTATTTTAGAAGGTAGTTAGTCTGTTTAGGTTTAGCATACAGGTCTTGGCCTACTTTGGTTGGCTGAGGTTTTAATAACAGTTTAATTTCACAGCCATTCTGGTTTTATTTTGATTGATTTGGTGTCATTAAGTCTTCTACCGGCCCCTACTGGTGCTACATGAAGTGGTGGAAAGAGTTTCCACAGGCCAGGCCTCTGGGTGTCTCTATGTTTCCTGGAATCTTCAGGTGGAAAAGGGAGTCTCATGGACACAGTCCAATATGCTTCTTTAACAGGTACTTGCTGTGGCAGTAGCCAATTCCCTGCAAGGGGGGATGGCATGCATTTCCTGAGCCAGACACTTGGGGTGAGATTCCTCTATTTGTGCTGCTGGGCTTTCCTGGTGTCTCTGGGCAGGTGAGGGGGA